ATCTACTCCGATGTATGTGACAGGGGCACTCTCCTGAGTTCAACGAGGCAAAATTATGTTAGAACAACAACAGCAACAAGGAGCAAAACATGCAGCAGTGCTGAAGTGGTTTAAAGCAGGGTTTTTCAAAGTCTAAGACAGTGAGCCTCCCTTTTGACACAACTTGCGCCCCCCTCCTCCCAAACACGCACGAACGCACACACACACACACACACACACACACACACACACACACACACACACACACACACACACACATATATATATATATATATATATATACATAAAGACACAGACAGATGTCAGACTGTTAACTCACTTTTATCATCATTTGCATGAAAGTGCAATTATTTACAGAGTAATAACAAGTATTTTAATATAACGTTTTTAAAACTAGGATGATGGTTCAATATGAATAGAACAGTTCCAAGAACTGTCCATCCCAGTCAAAATAGTGGAAGTTTAGTGGGTCTAATGCTGTCATTAGCCAAAATATTTTGACAAACCACACATAAAGGTTGTGGTTCATCAGCTGGTCCTGTCCACATAAATCATAAACTCAAATACTGATCATCATATCGTTGTCTTTTGGGTTTAAGCCCTGAACTTGAAAGCTTTTGTGGCTAGGGGGCGTGGCCGAGCGCCGTGGGAACGGAGTGAGGCCACCGCGTAAGTGGATACACTTGCGGTGCGCACCTGCCTCAGATCCCACGGAAGGAGCTCTGGATCATAAAAGGAGGAACAAGGGCAGAGGAAGCCGAGGGAGGACCGGACCCGGACATATTTTACTTTTGCTTTCAGTTTGACGGCAGTCTCCGTGAGGATCTGCCGTCCGTTTGTTTTGGTTTAGACGGAGCTGCCGTCACTGTCATTAATAAATCACTTTAAAACTGCTTCGGTTCTCCGCCTCCCTCCCGGCGGCCAAAGGGCCGTGAGCTTCATTACAGCTTTGAATCGGGGTGGGTCTCAGAAACCGACCCATTGTATTAGCAGGCATATACCTGTATTCACAGAAGCGAATTCACAGCTATGGCCTTCTGGGTAAAAAAGGTTTTCTTATATTTGACGTATTATTTTTTTCTTTGTTTAATTAAAACGTTTAAATATAATAAAAAATACATATAATAATTAAACTTAATAATTATATTTTTATTATATTATATTTTTTTCCCGCGCCTCCCCTGACATGCTCTGGCGCCCCCCAGGGGAGGCGCGCCTCACACTTTGAAAACCCCTGGGCTAGGAACTATACTCTCATTCTGGCGTAATAATCAAGAATCTGCTGCAGTGCCATGGCTGCAGTAGGCGCAATGACATTACACAGTGCATGAAAATAGTCCCCAGCGAGGTAACAGTGTCGTGTAATATTCTGCTTGGTGCAGATATGGTACGACAGCAAAGTTCCTTGATTAATATTATGCCCGAATGGGTGTATAGTTCCTAGCTATATCGACCTATAAAATAGCAACTCTTCATTTCCCCTTTGCCAATGGTCTAATCCGATTTAATGATCTATGCTAAGCTAAGCTAAAAGTGCTAGATGCAGAAATTGGCAGAAAGGATTCAAAAAAGGTAACACTCGACTGTTTAACCCTAGGGCAGTTGTAATATGAGCCTAAAGGTTAGTGTTCCTTAAGAAAATGCTGCAAATATCCCAAAATTTTCTGCATGACACAGAATGCTATCAGTTTTTAACAGTCAAAAGAATATTGACTAATTTTTAATGTTAATAGCACAGGGTGTAAATAATAAAGCTGAAAACTTTACTAGCCGTTCATACAACCCACAAACTAGCTGTCATTGACAGTTTGCAGTTGCACATTACTAAGAGGAATACCTGCATCATTGATGGGATCTGGGTCCAGGTGTTGGTCTCCGGATCAAATTTCTCTCCAGAGCTCAAGACGGTTTTATTCTCATCCATTCCTCCAATTGCAAACACATACCCCTCTGATCGGGCAGACAGAATTAGAAGTGAAGTGATTAAAGCACGATAAAGTCAGATTTTGTTATTTTATCTATTTAAATCCACTAACTGTTTCAATGGAGTTTTGGAAGATACTTAGGAAGGCATATAACGAATTTAAACATGCATGTGTTAATACATTAGGATGGAGAAATTATTGAGAAATATTAGCACAATTTCAATTGTTTTAGGCATTTATTTTGCAGTATGATGGCAATATTTCTTCTTATTGGAAACATTTGTTATACATTACATTTTTGAAATTTATTTTAAAATGAAAATCTAAAACTTTATACATTTTATAAGGCTTATTTTTCCTTTCAAAAAAAAAAAAAAAAACGTACTCCAAACTTTGAAGACAAAGAATATGTATGAATGGAAGATGTAGAATTTATTCCAATTGTATTAAAAATTATAATTAACAGAACTACCTTGATCAACGACAGAAATATTCCCTCACAAATGTAGTATTTAAACACTGAGCAAGTACAAACCTGCAGACACAACCCCATGGCCAACCCTTCTCTCCTTCATTGGCATCAGGTCAATCCACAGCTGCCTGTTGCGATCGTAAAGCGGACACATGCAGCGCGCCACTGCCGTGGGCTTCCGAGAGCTGCAAAGGAAACAAAAAGTTTAGTGTTTTATGCATAATGTAGTCCAGAAATCCACAATGAAATCAAATGGTTTCTGCTCCAAATGTGCCAATTTTATTTTATTTAATTCAGCTGATCTCTGTTCTGGGCTTCCAAACTGCACTGCACTGCAATAGTCTTATAGTATGAAGTGTGAAAGTGGAGCATTAAAAGGCCAGAGATGAAGCACAGAGAACCAAGAAAAAACTAAAGATATTGCCCATTCACTGCACACTTGCTTCATTCTGTCATGTTTTCATTATTAAATAAAACTGTACAGATACAACTTTGGGCACATTCCATTATAGCTCATGTTATACATGTTTTAAAAATCTGAAAAACTGATCAGGATATTTGCAAAGTACATCTGAGAATCTCTATTTAAAGCTAGAGTAAACATCTGTACTTGATCTGCTATTTGTGGTCTTTATTGTATATATTTGTGCATTTGTTGATTTTATTTTATATGTGGATTATTTCTGCATTTGCAAAACTTGTCTGCAGTTCCTGATGTTTAAAAAATAATGGATAAAATACTGAAATATCATAAATATTGAATTGGGAGTGTTTAGTTTTAAGTATGTAAAAAGGGGAACCCATCGTCTTTAAAAATGTTTAGATGGTGTTTTATTTTCAGATTTTTTTGTATAATGCATAAAATACAAAAGAATTTGTTTACACACTAACCAAGAAAATGTTGTTATTCCTGCTGTTCTATAAGCGCCACCTACAGGCAAAAAGTAAATATGCAGTTTTTTCTGCCTGTCTACTGTCTTTTCATACAGTTTTTTTGTGGTATAATTTCACAAAACTAAAATGTCAAATTAATTTGTTTTTACTTTATATTCTGAAATGATACAATCTAATATAATTTTCTATAAGAGCCACTTACAGGTAGACAGTGAACATGCAGTTTTTTAAACCCGTCTACTATTTTTCCATACAGGTTTTTTGTAGCATAATTTCTAATTTTGTTGCGTAATTTCTAACTTTGTAGCATAATTTCTAATGAAAAATGAGTTTCTAATGTAACTAATGTAAAACTAATTTATTTGACTTTATATTTTGAAATGAATTGCATTTTCTAAAACAACATTTTAAATAAATATGTATGCAAAAGCAGATATCCGAAAATTTGCCTGTAAAGAAATCAGCAAACGAAATTGGCCATGAAAAATTAAGATTGGTGCATTATTATTAATTTCATCAATACTCACGTCCTTTCTTCACCGCCGACTGTGACGATGCACTCAGAGTAGCCGCGAGGTTTGAACGCAGCGAGCAAAGCCTCTCCCTGCTGTGCTGCTCCTCCTAGAGACTCCATACAACAATTCCCAATCACCTCCCGCATCAGCGAGTCTCCCAGCATTTGCTCCTGGAGGTAACTCTGGTCCAGGCCTTGAACCCACACAGCAGACATCACCTCTTTCATATGGACCTGAAAAGAAAAACATTCTGTTTATTCCATTTTAAACAATTATATCCATGTATTCTATTTAAACAGGACAGATGTAAAAATAAGTAAATATAAGCTTCATGAAACATTAAATAGTAATAATTTAAATATAAACATTGACAAATTTTTCATTAATAGGACTTTTAAAAATATAAATTTTTTTCTGTATGGATGCATTAAGTTTGACAGTTGGGATAGTTAAGACATTTCTAATGTTTTTTCAAAGAAAAGCTGAGCTACTATTCACAAAAAAATCCTTTAAAAATGCATCAAGGTTTCCATAAAAAATGAAAAAGAAAAGAAAGAAAAACTTTTAGTTTAAAAAAATATCAGGCTAAAAGACTTTTCTGAACAAACATGAAATAAATGTAGCCTTATAGAACAGGGGTTCGCAAACTTTTTTAGCCCGTTACCCCTAAAATGACAATGCCAATGACTCGCGACCCCCAATATCCTCTGAGGTGGTTATAAATACTGAAACCTTGCATGCAATGGCGCACAAACACCAATAGACCCAAGTCTATTCTTCGTTTTTTTTTTTTTTTTTTTTTTAATATATGTCAGTGCTGTAAATGGGCCAGAAAGTTTGACCTGGTGTTATAAAATCAATCTGCTGCATCTGACGCTATTGCCGTGTCTTTAATATAATCTAATTACCCCAGAGGTCGCAATCCAATAGAACTAGTAACTATAAGCTACTATAGTAACTATATAGTAACTATAAACGACATTTTTTTTCCCTCTTCAGTAGGTTATGGTAAAAATATGGTAATTCTTATGGTTTAATAAAAATAAATAGATTTTTCGGAAATCACCAGGCGACCTCCATTGTCCTGTGACCCCTCGGGGGTCCTGACCCCCACTTTGAGAGCCACTGTTATAAAGTATAGGTCTTTTTAAAAGCATATACTGTATATATTTATGCTTCTAAAAGTCCCATGCTCTATAAGACTATGTTTACATGCAGTTTTACTTCAATCTTAAATGAACTTGTTCTCTTTATAGATCATCATATATTTTTATTTATTGCCATGTCAGCAATGATAGCTATTTTCATGGCAAAAATATGTCATTAATAAATATACAATTAAACGCCACAAACAAATGAATACAGAAATTAGATAACATTAATATATGATAAAAATTGTAAGATATTTCCAGGTGACACTTTGCGGAATATCACGTTGAGTTCATTTCATTAAAAAAGCCTTCTGCAGTCATTACAAGGAGGAAAGTCCAATAGAATGTGCTGTACAGTAATTGGAATTTTGCAAAACAAACACTTGGGTTAAGGCTGATTTATACTTCTGCTTCAAACGCACGCGTATGCTACGGCGTTGACGCATAGCCCTTCACCGTGGCCATCAGCGTCACTGACGTGCAGCTCTCAAAAAAATGTAACTACACATCGCAACAACGCGTAGCACAAGCTCAGTAATTGGTCGCCTTGGTAGCGCTGACGAGTCTGGGCGGGACCGAGAGCCGCGCGAATAGCACGAGCCCAATGGAGCGATTGTTTACAAGTGTGGAGTCTCGTGAAGGAGCTCCGGATGGAAAGTTTTGTTTTGTGTTTACCTCATAGTTGTTGCACGTCCGCCAGTTCCTGCCTCAAAATTAGCGAGTTTGAGCCCCTTGTACATCCAAGAAGTGTTTAGGAAAAGCAAAACAGCAGCGAAGAAACTCGACACAGAGGAACATTTACACCTCACTGCCAACTAGCGTTTCGGAAGTGTTAATGCAGACCAACAGAGACAGCGCGCAGAAGTACTTTAAGGTAAATGCACAGCTACGGGCGTTGCATGCGCCATGGGTTACGCCGGTCACTTGACGCAGAAGTATAAACCAGGCTTTAGTCTTGTATCTAGCATCTGTAAAAATTCCATTGATCAAATCTATTCTTAACACGTATTAAACATCTGTTCCAACCTGTTGTTTTCAGGTTCTATTTCATAAAATGTATCCACTCCTCTTGCTCTTTATATATAAGGACAAAATATACTTTATTTTTTTAGTTTAAAGTTGTTTGCTTGTACTACACAAAAAGAACATGCACAATTAAGTGCATAATTAAATAATTATGATCAAAAAAGTTTTATAGAAATAATGATTTATGCTTCGTGTTTGCATATGCTAGTGCAGGGGTCTCAAACTCAATTTACCTGGGGGCCGCAGGAGGCAAAGTCTGGGTAAGGCTGGGCCGCATAAGGGATTTCACAGTCCCTCAAATGTCATTATTAACAGTTTTAATTATTTCTTCTGAACATGAAGTGTCCTGAACATTAATAGAACATTGAGTGAAGATTATGAACAGTTCTTCGGAACATGGCATCTTTTGCCTACTACTTGCTGCCAGAGACTTGACAGCGCTTCTTCTCACAAATCTGAACCACATTTGGCTTTAGAGCGGAAGCAGTTGAGACCCTCAGTATGGCTTGGGGGAACTCACTCAAAACTTCCATTCCCTCACCTCACCTAAAAAAAGGCGTATATATGTATAAATAAAACACCCCCACCCTACTCCAGTCACATCAGTCTGTACCAGTCTGTATCTACCTATAATATATATAAGATGCAGGCTGTAGCTAGGTAGGTGGCTGGCTGCAGATAGGTAGCTAAGTGGCAGGCAGTGGCGGGAACAGCTTACCTTGGTTCTGGCCGGCACGAGTTCCCTCCTAACACTTCCCGCATGTCACAGCGTCTAACAAAGGGGCGGGGTGCGTGGTGACGTCACCGGCATCCCCGCCCCTTTGTTTACACGGCAGGCGGGGAATGCCAGTGACCGCTGTGTACGGATAGAATCAGCGGAGCAGGGAGCGCTCTCTCTCCCCACTCCGCTGATTCTGTCAGAGTACAGCTGTCGGCGCGGGCCACAAAATATTGCACTGAGGGCCGCAAATGGCCCGCAGGCCGCGAGTTTGAGACCCTTGTGCTAGTGCATGAGTATCCAATCTAAAACACCTGTTGCACTCACTCGTCGAGCTTCAGTGTCATGGCCGATCCAGCGGACAACAGCCTCCAGGACGTGTCTTTCATTCCCAACGTTGAGCTTCTCCATGGACAGCAGCTCGCACAGGCGATCGGGCGGCTGCTCCAAGAACTCCTCTGTATTGGCCACGTCGCGGAAATGCGTCTGCAGGAACTCTGTGGCCACGTGATAAACGTGGTGCAGGCAGTAATGCAAAGAAAAGACCCGAATACCGATGCAGTTTTCAGCAGTGATGCAGCTCTCCAGGAACTGACAGCACAGAGACTTGAGATCAGTGAGAAGTAGAAGATCAGCGGCCTGAACCACGTCCTGAATGGTGTCTTCACTCAGAGTGATCTACAGAAGGAAACAGTAGATGGAGTTTTGTTGTGGGTCTCTTTAATTGTACTGGATAATGAATTTTAAAAAACCCAGCACTCACAAAGAGATTACAATAAAATAAGGGTGATGAACTCTTTTTTTTTTTTTCAGGAATTTATTTATTTTTTGGAATTTTACTTTGTCCTCTAACGTCCACTTATAATGTTATGAAGACTTTGATACAAATTAATACACAAATGCTATAAAGAATAATTTATCCTCTTTTTATTCAATTCAGTTTTATTTGTATGGCGCTTTTCACAAAAATTATTATTTCAAAGCAGTTTTACAAACGATGCACTTTACTGCATTAATCAAAAAAGATCTTTTAGTAGATATATTATACGATAGACTTGCTTGGTTTACCAAATATGTGGATCTAATTGTATTTGCATTGTAAACATAAAATAAAAAAGTTATTTAAAAAAATTGTTATTTATTTTTTTATATATTAAGTTTTTATTAACGATACTCTCAAAATAATTCCGCATAAATCCGCAGATTTTCTACAAAATTCTATGCAGAAATAGGCAAAATTGTCCGCAGACTCTGTCTGGCCCTACTAATTACTAATAACTTTATCAGTTATCCTGCAGTTATATGGTATATAGGTAATGTTTATGTGTAGATGTGTATTAAGTGTACGTGTTGTCCTCAAAGTCCCAGATTTTATCATCTGACCCATTTGAATAGCTGTGGTGGATTTTAGACTCGGAAGTAAATGCCCACATCTTTAACATTTTACAAGACATTGTTTCTAAGATTTGGTTGCAAAGTTTTAAAAGACAGCTGTAGCCAACCAATGTAAACTTATGCATGTTTGATAGCCTACGTTCTCAATAGATTGATGCTAAAGAGTTTTACACAAATAAAAAACGCATAAATACACAGTACATTTCACATTTTTTGTAATTACATGCATTCTAGTATTGACCATATAATAAAACAATTTATTTCACTTCATGTGTGGCATGAAAGAAGGAAGAAACAAAGAAACAAGAAAAATTATAAGTGAACAAATAAGCAGAGGACTGGAATTTAATTCAAAATAAAGCTCCTTTACTTTTTGTTGGGATGGGAAGGGCATTAGTGAGCATGTCTGTGTTCTTGTGTGTGTATACTGTTTTTGCATTAATATTTTTTTCTAGCTCCCTTCCAACCTGTCTTGGGGAGCATACTGGCTTCAATATAAGCTGGATTTTGACTATTAAAAAAGTTTTTGATTTTAAACATCATTTTATATTTTTTGTAAAAAAAAAAAAAAAAAAATACAAGACGATTTATAGGTCATTTTGGGGAATGTAAACAATAATAAGGGTTCTAACCTATTTCCTGTTTTACATTTTTAATATCTATAGCTTTAGATAATCTAAAAAGAGTTACATATAGTGATAAATAAAGTTACGGCAGCTGTTTTAACAATAATATATGATTAAATTGCCTCTTGTTATGGTTATGTAATAGCTTAACAACAAGCAAAAAATGTTTATGGGCCAGTCACGTCGCCACATTGAAACAGTCTTTAATATAATGATCTCTTATATGTCAGAATTGATTCCTCAGTTCATCACCCCTTCTCGTTTAAAAAAATAATAATTTTCATGATATTAACAAGCTAAAAAACAATAATTTTAAATCTTCAGAGTTTCAATGGCTAAAGGAAAGAAGCATACAATGTATAGATAGTAAAATAAATTACCTCCCCACTGAAAATATAGTCTAATATCTGCCTCATGGTGGTCACTGCAATCCCCTGCAACTCGATTGTGTATACAGATCCATCCTCCTTTGGTGGGTTGTAATTTAATTTGGTCCTGGAAACACAGTAACACAAAGTAACATGAGTTTGCATTCACTGTGGATCTAATACAATGGCTTACTATAAATCTTGGAGATCTGATAAATAAAAGGCTCTACTACATTTGTAATGTTTTTTTTAATTATTTGAGAGGAAAAACCTGTTTTCCGGTCAGGTTTTTCATGTTAACCCTTTGGGGTCAGAGTGGATTGTGGGGCACTGGATAAGTTTTGACATTTGTGATTTTTCAGCTTTTTGTAAATGTATTAATTGCTGAATGCAACATTATGTAAGCAGCATGTATGCACAGTGCTCGGCAAGAATAAGTATTAATATTCAATATTAATATTTTCATCCATTTATCAGTAAATATAGGTCACATTTTGGTGGATTTGAACAAAACAGATTTATTAAAATAATATTTTAGTCACCAAAAAAAAATAAAAAATACAAAAAAAGAAAGATAATACATGCAATTTCATGCTAATTATTGTAAAAAAAAAAAAGAATATTAAATTGGGCTAGTAATTTTCTTGGACTCTTATCTTAATTTATTTGTTAGATTAGCTTCAGATTTGGCCTAATCTAATGTACATCCACAAGTATATTGTATATTATCCTTTAGAACATATTAATTTAAAAGAGAGATGTGTATACGTTTTATTTTTTTGGTTAAACTTTTTTAAAAACAAAAAGTGATATACGAGGTCAGAAAAAAAAGTCACTGAAATAATGCCAAAACAGGTGTAAATATTTTTATTTAAAACTTTTGTCTAAAATGAGGAAGGGTAGTTTCTACAAAATTATATGTAACGCATCCTGCCCACTCACTCATATTAATAAATATAATCTAACTATTTTTTCAGTAACATATTGTGGACTGTTTTTATTTTCTTATATTCTTTTGTGCACAACAGTGACAAAAACTACTTTTGTAACAGAATTAATAACTCTCTACGTGAATTGCAACCAATAAGGAAAAAGGGACATTGATACAGTGTACCAATTCCCACAGCGTCCTTTCATTGCTCTCATCCATGCAAGACAATTTGGATTATGATAATTATAGATATGACTTACTACATAATTACAACTTTTAAAAACAAATGTCAACAGCAACAATTTTGAAAAAGACGGGAGAGTAGAAGTAACTTCATTTTGTTTAGTAGTGGTAACTCAGAAGTTTTGAAATTTTTTCACAGAAATATTTTTATATGATTTTATAAGATTAAGTTTTTCTATTTATATGTTCTGCTTTCATTTTAATTGTAGTCCAGGTTTTAGCAATTTTCTTATATCTAATAAAATTTATAGTCTTTTTTCTTTTTGTTTACATACACTAAAAATTAAATGATCAATAAGTCATGATAATGAATGTTTTCATGTTAATTATAACTTAATAAAACACATTAATCACAATTCTAACTTAATCTTTTAGATCAATATAAAAGCCATTTTAAGCCAGTTTAATTTGAGGTCAAATCCCTTATAAGGTTAATATAATTTAACTTAGAAATTTAAGACAACGCTGTTTTAATGGTGTAACTATTTGCCTAGCTTAACATTTTAGTACTTAAATGAACTTGAGAATGACAAATGCCTTGAATTTATAATAATTGTGCCTTGAATATATAACATTGCATAACATTTAAATAAATGATACAATTTCATCTTATTTAATAATAAAATCACTTTTCTTAATGATTCAGTTTAAAATTAAACAGCAGAACATTAAGAACTTGTGAAAATAGAGTAATATAAAATTTTTGTAATTATTTATGTGAGTTTTGTGGCCTTTTTGAGGCCTTTCAGTAACCATTCATTGTCAATGCACAAAATAATATATTTACTTAGCTAATTATTTTAGTTACTTAGCTATTTATTATGAGTATGATATATATATAATAGCTTTTTAAGAAATAAATGATACTATTTTAACTTTTAAAGCAAGTAATGAAATAGCTTTTCTTAAGGATTTAGTTTAAAAATTTAATATTAAAATATTAAGAACTTATATAAGCCTTTGATTTATAATAATTGTGCCTTGAATATATAATATAGGTTTTAAAAAATATACTATTTTTTTCTTATTAGGTAATAACATCTTTTTTCATATTTTCTTGTGGATTTAGTTTAAAATTAAATAGCAGGGCATTAAGAACTTGTGAAAATTGCATAATATGAACCATTTTTGTAACACTTTTATGTGAATTTTGTGCCCTTTTTGAGTCCTTTCAGTATTCATCCATGATCAGTCATTAAAACAGTTTCTTTTGTGTTCTGTATGCCTGTTACAGTATGTGCTGCTGGTTAACATGAGGGCGTGTAAATTACTTTACTCTTCTGTCTTTTTTGAGAGAACTATTCATTTAAGTGACCCAAGCAACAGGCAAGGTGGAGCTGTTTGGCACACCCATATGACACATTGCTCAAGGGTCTGCAACATGTCTGAGCAAACATAGCAGCAGCTACTCATCTGATCTCACCTCATGCAAATCTATTCAAGTTTCAGGCATTTTCCCATACCTGATGTACGGACTAGCAGCAGCCAAAATGTTTTTCTGCACAGGAATCTGTTCACCTTCCAAAACCAGCACTGCATCTTGAAAACAGTCGTCCTGTCTGAAAGACTGAAGGACCCTGAGAAGCTTCTGGGAGTGCTGAGGGTCCGAAACCACTGATCCAGCATCAGCGCCAGCTCTTTTAGGGTCTGACATGCTGTAATAACACAGTACAGACAGATGTGCTGTTAACACAACACAACAACAGCAACATGCTCCAGGTTTGTGTTGAATAAACAAAATGACAGGTTTAAATCATATAAACTCACTCAAATGTGCGTCAATTAAAGTTGTTCTGGGTATTTGCTAACTTCAGCCGCTCATAGCCATCTGTGTGTGTGTTTCAGGACAGCGAAAACTGCAGAAAAACAGTTCTCGGCTGCTTCATGTCATGGCACTGCACGACGTCACCAGGAAGAGCATTTAGGTTTTTCAAAATAAGAGCCCCCTTTTTTGAAAACAGCACTCAGGTGTCTAATTTCTATATGGCGCAGGTGTCAAACTCCTGAAGGGCCACGGCTCTGCACAGTTTAACTTTAACCCCAATTAAAATACACTTGATCAAACTAAATGAGTCATTCAGGCTTATTTGAAACAAAGAGCATAGCGCAAGTTAATTGTTTGGAACCTAAGTGTGTTGAAGCATAGTTGGAACGAAACTTTGCAGGACTGCAGTCGCCCTACAGTATATATATATATATATATATATATATATATATATATATATATATATATATA